ATCGAAGAGGCTAGTGGGAGGCGATGGCGAGGCAGGAGTAGAAGCTGAGGACTGCATGAGTGGTGATGAAGTGGAAGACTCGGCTGAGGAAGGAGAAGGATAATCTGATCCTTCTCGCCCAAGTCTGGAGAGGCCTGACCAAAAGTACAAGTGGGTGAGGACTCCCTCGGGGGAGCAAATGAACTAGATGCAGGAGTGCTGGGAGTGGAAGTGCGACAAGCAGTTGGTTGGGGATCGAGAGGGCCCAGCATCATCATCATCGTCCCACATAGGTGAACTAGTCGACGTGAGAGGAGAAAATGGGGTTTGGTCTCCAACAGTTGACGAGGAAGGATGTGTAGAAGTGCGATAGGGGAAAACTTACTCCAAGAGCTTCACATCGCGGGATGTATAAATCTTCTTGTGTTCAAATCATAGATACAATAGCCTTGCTGACCGGATGGATAACCAACAAATACCCCAGCCTGACCGCGATCACTGAACTTGTCTAAGCACACATTCACCCCAAAACTGAATGGGTAAATTAGCATGGAAACGCAGGGCTCGAGCCGTTTCCAAAAGGTGCCTGTGCTTGCGTTCGACCACCCTATTTTGCTGAGGAGTGTCGGTACAAGAGGTCTGCAGAATAATCCCAGTCTCCTCATAGTAATCCTTCAAGACAAAAGTAGCAAATTCAGGGCCATTGTCGGCCTGAATGCGTCGGACGTGCTTGCCAAACTGGTTAACAACCATGTGACAAAAATAAACAGATACCACAAGACCTCAGACTTGAATTTCAATAGAAAAACTCAAATTGCTCGACTATAGTCATCAATAATTGTCAATAAATAACGACCACCAGTATGAGAAGGAACATGATAGCCACCCCAGATATCCAAGTGAATAAGTTCAAAATAGGACTGAGTTTTGATGGAACTAGATTGAAAAGAGTCACGAGCCTGCTTAGCTCGGAAACAAGAGTGACACGGTTCTTGTGGCTTCACCAGAGGACTCGAGATCAAGTGCTGCAAATGAGTGAGTTTTCCCGTGGAAGGATGCCCCAGACGGGCGTGCCAAATAGCTGAACTGTCCACTGCTTGACGAGCTGAATGCGCCACCGGGTGTCTGCCATCAAACAACTAGAGATAGTACAGCCCGTCGACATGCTTACCCATCCCAATCAGCTTCTTGGAGGGTAAGTCCTAAATAACACAGAAATCACCCATAAAAATCAATGCTACTGGAAGATCAGCAATGAGCCGACTAATAGAGAGTAAATGCACTGGAAGACTGGGACATGAAGAACTCGCTGCAAAGTCAAGTTATCCGACAGTTTAGTCGAACCAATATGATGTACAGGTACACTAGTTCCATTCGGAATGCGGACCTGTAAAGCTGGGGGTTGTCCCAACTCATTAAGTAATAAAGATTTTTCATTAACGATATGCTCGTTAAAACCCGAGCCAATAACCCATGACGAAGTAGAAGTGAGAGTCGTACCTGCCATGGTAGAGACTTTATCAATGGCACCATGATCAGAGGACTGCGGCTCGCCGGTGAGGAAGCTCTTCAGCTGCGCAAGTTGACTTGCGGAGAGGCCAGGAATGGGACACAACTCAGTGTCCACTACCACTGCCTGGGGACGCGAGCGAGAACCGCGATCGGGGCAACACCATTGCTGCTGATCATTAGGGCCATGAGTGTGATGAGGGTAACCAATGATCTTGTAACACGTCTCCCACAATTGCCCTGATTTCTGGCAGGGTGTGCAAACAAATCAACCATCAGAATCCCGTGAGCGACCATTCGGAGCTCGCTCTCCTCGACAAGATGGACGATCAGGACGTTTGTCCCCTTGGGATTGGAAGGCAGACGCATCAAAACGTGGGCGCCGACTACTAGAAATTTGGCGCTGGTGCTCGTCATTCATCACAAGATGGTAGGCCTTTGCTAAACTGGGAATAGGTTTCATGGCCAAAATCTGGGTTTTCACAGTAGCAAAAGAATCACTTAAATCCATTAAAAAATCAAATAAACGCTCACTTTCCTTGGCTTCCCTTTGACGACGCTTAACGTCACATGTGCAGCCGCTGCAGGTGCACTCGAGAGAGGGTGCTAGGAACTGATTTCGTCCCAAGAACCCCGCAGCTTTGTATAGAAATAAGCGACTGACAACCTCTCTTACTAAAGGGAGATAATTTCCTGTTGTATCTTGTAGAGGCGAGGCGCGCTCCCATGCCTAAAACGAGCTTGCAAATCAAGCCATATATCGCGCGCCGTTTTAGCAAAACGAACGCTGCTGCGAACATCTTTAGATATGGCCGTTTTAAGCCTCCCTTTAACCATAGTATCACATTGTTTTCAGAGATCGAACTCCCCGCCCCCTAATGTCGGTTTGGCGATAGTTCCGTCAACGAACCCGATTTTATTCTTTGCGATTAAGTAGTTGGTGATGTCTCCCAACCACTCCCTGTAATTAACCTCCGTGATGAGTTCACCAACAAACAATTATCCAGGATTATCGAACTGATGGATTGTGAATGGCAACGGAACGATAAGACTCTTGCCGCCGCCCGAGCCGGATACGCCAGAGGCGGTCTTGGTCAAATCATGACCTGAATCAGCCTCTAGGGCACTCATCGCGAGAGAAGAACTTGCTTTAGGATCACAACTTTGATAACATGTAGAATTCCGTGATAACGGAAACTAAAACACAAGAACAACGACGATTTACGTGGTTTCCCCGTCCAATATGGACGAGACTATTCCACGGAGAATGAGAGCTCTCAGTTTGATTATTGATCAAGAGTTTATTTTTACTTAGGGTTTCAAAGAACCCGTCGGCCAATATATAGGATTGCCATACCGTTACAACTAATGAAATACGGTTAGGCAAATTACAATGTAATCCCAAATTAGTCTAAAATAAACAAAATATGGAATTAGGAATTACCACACAAATCATAGATTCCGTCCAGCCAAAAGTACACTTATTATTGACACATATAACAAGCTCAATTCTAGTCAGTTCATCTGATGGGATTATGCCAACCCTACATGACCTAATTCGATTCCAAATTATATCTCTTCATGGACTATGGGTCAATAGATGAATTAGGAGGTTTAAAGAGAGTTTAGGAGAATTCAAGATGGGTGAAAATGGGTCTACAAACAAGACATACGGGTTAATTGAGAATTGAGGATTTCCTACAACTATCATTGTCCAACAAGAATTTGGAGGAGATGCTTAATTGCTATCCATGTTGGTTTATGAGTCTTTTTATTATGTTTGCTTTATTTATTTTCTTAAGTATGAGTGTTATATGTTTCCTAATAGTAGAGTGATTACTTTTCAGTTTCCTAGGTGTAGAAGGAAGACTTTTCTTTTGGGTTAGCTTCTCTATAAATAGAAATAGAATGCTTGTTAAGTTTTATTCAATTCAGTATTCAGATTTCAATAAGAGTTTTCAAGAGTTGCAAGAAATATTTCCTTGTAATTTCTTAGGCTTATCAACCCCTTGGTTGTGGCGCCTTGCCCCGAAGCTTATCACCAACTGGTGTGGCGGTTGTTCCTTCATCTAACCTATAAAAAATACTAAATTGCCCAATTACAACCCTAGCTATTTTATTCTCAATTAGAGCATTCTAGGCACATCATCATCCATACCCCTTAACAAACGAAACAAGCCGAAATGTTGCATGCATCCTAGCAGAAGCTCGTTTCAAAATACCATACGAGGCTGCATTGGGCAGAAATCCAGAATTCTTGAACTTTTCAAACACATGGGAAGCTATTTCACGTGAACCAGTCTTGCAAAGCTCATCCAGTGCAACATTTAAAGTAACTATGGTTGGTTTTGGACCACTAAGCAACATGTTATCCAAAAGCTTCAAACACTCTGAAACCTTTCCAACTCTACACAAATATCGAATCAGGCAAGATGACGTGAAGACATCATGGTTGATACCTTCATTCTGCATACGGCACAATATCAATTCGACAATCTCAGAACTACTCTGTATGCAAGCCCAAGACAAAATTGTATTAAAAGAGACTGCATTAGGCAAGAATTGGCTCAAGAGCATCACAACCTTGTTTTCCCTACAAAACCCATTGATATTATATGACACATTGCTCGGAATGAAACCTAACACAGCTACCAACTCTTCTTGATTTTAAAGGCCTCCCCCCCAGCAGCACAGCTACGATGTAAGCATCAGGAGAGTATCCTTTAGAAACAATCATATCTAGGAGCACAGTAATGTCAAACACTCTATCCAGCGAAGAATTATATTATAAACTAGCAAGTCCGGACTGCATCCTTCCGCCTCCATCAAATTCGGATACCTCAATGCCTCTTCTATCCTCCCATTTACACAAAGGAACTTAACCAACACAGTATATGTAATGAGACTAGGCTTTAAACCGCTGTCTTGCATTTCATCAACAAACCACCAAGCAGCTTTCCACAACTCTTCTTTACAAAAGCCATAAACCAAAGCAGTATAAGAGCAGACATCTACTCCAAGACCCATCTTCTTCATCAAGTAAAACAGTTGTAGAGCAGAATAAGTCTGACCAGTCTTACACAGCGCCCAAAGAATCAGATTCAAAGTGTACACCCCAAAAAACCGATCTTTAGCAAGACGAGAAGAAACCGCGGAATACCCTTCCCTAGTCATTCCACTCTTGCTAAGCATACAAATCAACAGATTGAAAGATGGCTCTGTAGGGACATAGTCCATCATCAACATAACATAAATAAAAAACCAAGGCAATCCGTTAAACTCTTCAACTCAAGACATTTTTTCAACCACCTGGACAAAACTGTGAACGATGGAAGGAACCCACTGGCAAACATCCGGCCCAGAAAAAAGAAAGCAGGTTTGAAATTCCCAGCTACCACCAGGCCATTAACGACCAAATTAAAAGTCACGGCATATGGTGCCTACTATCTCAATGCTTTCCATCATTCCGAGACAAACTTCCAGCAAACCATCCGTGAAACGATTCCCACACTTTAAATAACTGTGCACCAAAGGATTGAAATCGGAAACGGTTGGTTTGCCGGGAAGCTCCTCATCGAATTCCAAGTCCACAGAGCTTGCGGGAGGTCGGCTGACGCGGCGTGCCCTCGCATTCCATGTTGCAAGTCTTCGTAACTGGAATTGGCGGTTGACTCGTCTTCCCTACCAGCATTGAGTTTTTGCAGAGCACAAGAAGAAGAAGAGAAATAAGCAAGCTTGGGGAAAATGACGGAGGAGTATGAGCCAAGTGTACGCCTGAAGAAGCAAATTACAGAGTCCGAGCATAAGGGCATTGTCGCGGGAGAGGAACCAGTTGAAGTTCGGTGAGGAGCGCGGTAGCTCAATTTAGTTATCCTCCTAACATGATTTTTTGTTAGGAGATACTAACAAGGCCGGATGGGCCTCCACGCCGACAAGCCACCATCCATTGGTGGAGGAGAAAACGCGCCAACATGTGAGGAAGGAGAGCTGAGTCCATCGGCTTGGCCAAGCCCACTGGAAAGAAAATGGGGCCAGCCGGGCCCCCAAATTCAAAAAATTCTAATTTTTTATACCCAAAACCCTCCGGCATTTGTTCTTTCTCCGCCATTCCAAAAATATTTTCCCTCTCTCTCTAAAAACCGTTCGTTTCCCTCTACCTCTCCCTCTCCCTTTCCTCACTAGATCCTGTGTGACGACGTCGCCGACGAATGCGACGGTGGTGCGAGGAAAAGATGACTGCGTTGGTTCTTGTCAAGGGCGACTTTGACTTTGACTGTAGCGGCAAGAATGACGATCACGGCAGCTGCGACGGCGGCTTTGACAGCAGTGCGACGGTGACGGTAGCGAGACAAGGACTACGGCGATAAGATATGCGTCTTCCCCTTGCTTCATTCGTACTTAAACTGTTAGATTTCATAGATTCGTTTAAGGTTTTACATGGATAGTATTTAGGGTTTCATGGATTAGGGGTTTTGGATGGCTTGGCTTGTTAATGGTTTGTTGGGGTTCGTCTGGATGCTTGGGATTCATTTTCATGGTTGTGTGATTCTTTGTTTTTGGTTTAGTGTTCAGTGGGATTGATAGATACAAGTGTTGACGGGTTTGGGTATTACCCTGGTGTGCATGGTTACGATTTTGGGTAACCCGGTTTTAATTTTGTTGATTTGACTGGATCGGGGTTGCTTGTTATTTGGGTTTTGTGTATCTGGGATCTGATATTAGTTCTGTCAAGCAGGATATAAGTTTTCATTTGCCTGTATATCTGTTTGGTATATCTGGATATTCCTACGTTGATATTGGTTTTGGTCGAGCTTGATATTAGTTGTGAATTTCCTTGATAGTTGTTTGACGAATGTGGATATTCTAGTGTGCAGGGTAATCACAATGGAAAGAACTAAAGCTACTGCAGCAAGGAGGACCTGAACAGAAGGAGAAACCTCGAGCCCTAAACGTGCTAAAAAACAACAGCAAGATGAGGAAGAAGAATTTGATTTTGAGGATGCAGAAATTGAGCACGAAGACAGTGATGACCAAGAAGATGAGGAGGAAGACGACTAGGACGAAGAAAATGATGAAGAAGTTGCTGAAGGAGGAGTAGGGCGCCAATACAGATTTCGCTGTAGCACCAAGAAGGTGATGTCGATTATAAAAGATTGGAAGCAAGATCCACGATACTATCAAGCTTGCAAGAGAGAGATCGAGAAGGCAGAATTTGGGACCTATTTAAACTTCGGCTGGCCAATGTTCCTAAAGAGATGTTGCCTACCTTGATGGTACATTACGACATGTGCACCGAAAACTTCATTTTTTAAGGCGAGAACAAGAAGGTGCTCACCATTTGTTGTATGCTTATTGGATTATTAATTGTATGTTTGACCTTCTGGCTCATTGCTCATTGTTCATCTGACCTGCAACAGGTGCTCACCATCCAAGATGAGGATGCTGCCCGTGTATACGGCATTCCTCTTGGTGGTGCTGAGATTGACCTTGTGAAGGCTAATCAGTCGATGCTCAAGGTTCTGAAGGAGGAGCTCGGTATGGAGGGTGATCGGGAACGAAATGTTAAAGTTATGGAGTTGACTAAGGCGACTAAAGCTCGGGTGAAAGACTGCAGTTGGAACCCCCTCCTAGTGAATGGAAAAAAAATGTAAATGAAAGTGCAAAAAAGGGGTTCCAACGGTGAAATGAAGTGAAAGAGCACCCCAGTACAACGAGTCCTTGGTTGTGAATGGTGTGAGTCCTTTTATCCATGAACTGACTGTCTTACTTCCACTTCTTCTCATCATCCTGGCTTGAGTCTAGTACTCGCATTGAGAGAGATAGGGGACGTCTTAGAAGACCAGTTGACCTCGTAAGCTGCTATATGATCTAGGAAATCCTCTACCGATGATCGGGGTTGTTTGTTGCTATTGAGGTCTGGAGAGTTGCATTGGTTTGAGTTAAGGTTTGCTTGGGGACAAGCAAACGGTTAAGTGTGGGGGAGTTTGATAGACCATTGATTGCACATGTTTTTACCCCTATTCTTGATCCGTTCGAGATGTTAATTCTCGTGTTTTAAGCCGATTTCACGCTAGGTTGTTCTTGTTTGTGATATTTCAGGTCCTAATACGTGAATGAAGGCTTGGGAACGAATTCGGGGTCGATTGGACAAAGATTGGACGTTTGGCGAGAAGCTGAGGAACTCACACGGGCACGCCCAATATCCCACACGACCGTGTGACTTGGCCGTGTGGCGCCACTTTACACGGGCAAGCCACACTGGCCGTGTAGGGGACCCCTTGTGACCGTGTGGAAAGTCCAAGGAACTCACACGGCCAGTCTGGAAATACACACGGCCTTAGGAGGTGGTTACACTTGGCCATTTTCTAGAGTGGCGGTAGGAGCGAGTCAAGTTTTTGGCGCCGTTGCCGGGGACCGCTAGGTTGTTGAAGAAACATGGTTTCTGTTAATTTAGCATTTCTTTTTAGCATTGTTTGTTGGCTTTGTCACACTTGTGCTTTCACGGGTTTGTTGCTTGACTGTGTGCAGGTAGTGCATGACCCGTAGCCAGTCAGGAGGTTTACTGCCATTGGATCCGGAGCTTGAACGCACTTGTCGCCAACTTAGGAGACAACAGCGAGCTAGACTGGCTACAGCGGAGCGCATAGGCGGTCACTTGAGCAGCGATTCCGAGGATGGGTACGAGATGGAAGGTGAACATAACCCGCCCTAGGGGATACCTCTCCAGGTTCCCCCGGTAAACCAGATCTTGGGGAACGACCCAATACCCCAGGGGCAGGCATATGGGGTTCATCATCAACCACCGCCGCCGGGTCCCACCTTGGATTACTACTACACTCCACGGGTCGCTGATATCCGCCCTGTCATCCTCTATCCGCCCATCCCAGCGAACAGCTTCGAGATCAAGCCATGCTGGATTCAACTCATTACATCCTCTATCTAGTTTCATGGCTTGAAGGATGAGGACGCAAGGGTGCCTCTTTCCCGTTTCCTGCAGCTGACGAACGGGTTCAAGATGAGTGGTGTACCCGATGATGCGATCCGCCTTCACCTCTTCCCCCATTCTCTGGCGGGGCATGCTAAGAGATGGTTAGAGACCCAGCCCCCATTGTCCATCACTTCTTGGGACGATCTTGCCAACAAGTTCGTGCACATGTACTATCCGGCATCGAAGACCACAGAGGTCCAGCGGGAGATCACTCACTTCCGCCAAGAGCCAGATGAGTCACTTCATGATGCATAGGAGCGGTACGCGGGATTTTCCTGGCAGTGTCCCCATCGTGGCTTTGGTGATGCATTCACCGTGGGGAACTTCTATAGTGCTCTCTTTCCGGAAAGCCAGAGGGTGATTGAGTCTCTATGCCCAGGAGGAGACACTCACTAAGACTCCACCCGAGTTAAACCAGATGATCAGTACCCTAGCTTCCAGAGATCATTCCTGGGGGAAGAGCACCAGAGGCAGAAATTCCCGGGATCGTGGTGTGCACGCCATGGAGGCCAGGTCCGGGCTAGAGCGGGAGGTGGCTAAGTTGGTGCAGACATTGAAGCAGCCCAACAGTCTTATTCCAGGCAGAGGTCTAGGCAGACCTCCAATAGCTCAATGTCAGTGGTGTGAGAGCTCGAACCATCTGGTGGAAGTCTGCCAGGCTATGCGCCAGCATCCCAACTTCTCTTGGAATGGCAACACCACCAAACCACCTGGTTTCCCAGCACCAGCTAGTGGTTTTCAGCAGAGGCAGCCTTTTCAGGCTAGACAGGGGGCTCGTTCCATAGCAGCAAGCTTACCCGCCCAGACAAGAGCAACCATTCCAGCAACCGCAGCGCCAATATGTCGAGCCAGCAGAAGCTCCAGCTCCAGATAATCAAATGACCGAGCTGAAGAACATTTTGGCGGCATTCATGACTACTAGCCAGGAAAATTTTACCAGGATAGACCAAAGCATCGCCTCGCTGGAGGCGGGTCAGAGGAACCAAGGTGCCATACTGCAGAACCTCCAACATCAGCTTGGAGGAATAGCTCGTCAGAACAATACTCAGGCACCGGGAACTCTACCTGCCATTACCATCCCCAATCCACGGGAGCCGCACCAGCAGCTCAATGCCATCACCACCAGGAGTGGCAAGACCACATCGGCGGTACCTGCCCTGGCCAGGCAGGAAGAGCCACTACCTACTTCAGCACTTCCGGCCAACGATGCAGAAGTGGGGATGGAGAAGGCAACACCTGCTCCCAAGCCACAGCCAGTGGTTAAGGAGCATGTTCCCCAGCTTCCTTTCCCCACTAGACTCCATAAAGATAAGCTGGAGACTGAGTTTGCCAAATTCATGGCAATGCGGAAGCAGGTTAACATCAGCCTGCCGTTCGTGGAGGCACTGTCGAAGATGCCCAAGTACGCCAAATTCATGAAGGAGCTACTTACCAACAAAACACGACTTGGGGATCTCTCGATAGTGATGCTAGGCGAGGAGTGCTCGGCCATTCTGCAGAGCAAATTGCCAGTGAAGCAGAAGGATCCAGGTAACTTTACTATCCCTTGATCCATTGGCAACTTACATGTAGAGAGGTCCCTGACGGATCTAGGTGCTAGTATAAATGTTATTCCATACAAATTGTTCAAAAAACTAGGCCTAGGTGAACCCAGCGCAACTAGGATGAGTATTCAATTAGCTGACCAATCTGTGGTTCATCCTAGGGGCATAATGGAGGACCTCCTGGTTAAGGTTGGCAGATTTTGTTATCTTGTGGATTTTGTTGTCTTGGACATCAACGAAGACACAAACGTGCCCCTTATTCTAGGACGGCCCTTCCTGGCCACCGCCAGGGCCCTAATAGATGTCCGTGATGGGACTTTGGTTTTGAGAGATGGCGAGGAGCAGATAACTTTCTCTATTGCCAATAATAATATGCCTGCTACCTCGCCTATGCATGCTATTTCTCACCAGGTGCATGAGCCTATCGTGTATCCTTTTGTGCCTCTCGTTTTGTAGGATCCCCCTCTCACTCCTTCGCCGCCACTTCCTCCAACCTCACCGCCAAACAACAAGATCAAGGAGGAGTGGCGGCCGAAGCCGCAGGTGGCTAAGCCTGCTCGGAAGAAAGGTGGCGACCATTATGAGCTGGTCCCACCTCCTGCACCAAGACCACCCTGGCCATCCAAGTACTCACTCGCTTGCATCCTGTCGGATGGCCAGGTCGAGCTGACAAATGCAGGTGGTTGCACCCGTCGGGTGCATGGCCAACATCTGAAGCTGTACCTCAAGAGTGATGTGGATCCGCTCTTGTTGGCACCTATTCCTGCACCCCTCTGAGTATCCACCATGGGCGTCCAGCTAAAAGATGGTAAAGAAGCGATTGTGGGGGAGACAACCCCACCATGGTTTGTTTTCTTTTTCTTTTGGATGATGTACTATTGAGCTGACAACTGGACCTAACGTATTGTGGCTGAGCTTTTGTTTTCCCTTTAGCTGTGCCTTTATCCCTGACTGGTCCCCTCTCTAGTCCTCTTCACTCAGACTTGTCCACTTCCAGTCTCATGCAATCCGTGCACACCGGTAACATCGTTCCCCTTATCCTTTCCCTCTTCTCCATTGAGGACAATGTCGAACTTAAGTGTGGGGGGATGTTTCTCTTTTTACTGGATTAGATCTGTTTGTGTGTTTGGAGCCTAGTCCACTGTCCAAATTTCGATTTGAGGGCTCCAAATACGTGTCTCCTTGCAAATTGCCTGCTCAGTATGCTTTGAATTGATAGTCTCTATAGTAATGTGCAACCTAGGGAGGTAGTGTAACACTATGGAGGATGTTGAAGTATAAGATTTTTCCTATCTAGCTCTGTGTTCTGCCAGTTGATTTTGTGAATTAGTGGAGCTAAGACTATTGAATTCATGTGGTAATGGTGTCTCTAATTGGATTGTGTTATGGACTCGTGTATCGAATAGGGTGCTCATGTGGGAAATGAAAAGGAGTTGGTCCTCCATGTCGAAATCATTGAAATCTTAAACATGGGGTAAGCCCAACGTGTGTGGCACCGTTCATTGCACAAAATTGGGTTTTGGAAGAGATTTTAGTGATCCTTAGTGGGGTACTCCTACAAGGTGAAGCTAAGTTGTCTCTAGTACAAGTAAAATTTTCACCCGTTGAACGGTTTGCCTACTTGAAGATGTGTTTTTAAGGGCATGGATAGAACTTCCGACCCCCCTTAATTTCACTGACCCTCCACACGAGTTGAGGAAAAGGAGTTAAAAGAAGTACTCTGTTGAGCGCCAGATGTACAGAAATTGCTCTTGCTCGACTAATAAGGGTCGACCGTGCAAAAGACTGCAGTTGGAACCCCCGCCAAGTGAATGAAAAAAAAAATGTAAATGAAAGTGAAAAAGGGATTCCAACGGTGAAATGAAGTGAAAGAGCACCCCGGTACAATGAGTCCTTGGTTGTGAATGGTGTGAGTCCTTTTATCCATGAACTGACTGTCTTACTTCCACTTCTTCTTATCATCCTGGCTTGAGTCTAGTACTCACATTGAGAGAGATAGGGGACGTCTTAGAAGACCAGTTGACCTCGTAAGCTGCTATATGATCTAGGAAATCCTCTACCGACGATCGGGGTTGTTTGTTGCTATAGAGGTCTGGAGAGTTGCATTGGTTTGAGTTAAGGTTTGCTTAGGGACAAGCAAATGGTTAAGTGTGGGGGAGTTTGATAGACCATTGATTGCACATGTTTTTACCCCTATTCTTTAGCCATTTGAGATATTGATTCTCGTGTTTTAAGCCAATTTCACGCTAGGTTGTTCTTGTTTGTGATATTTTAGGTCCTAATACGTGAATGAAGGCTTGGGAACAAGTTCGGGGTCGATTGGACGAAGATTGGACGTTTGACGAGAAGCTGAGGAACTCACACGGGCACGCCTAAAATCCCATACGGCCGTGTGACTTGGCCGTGTGGCGCCACTTTACACGGGCAAGCCACACTGGCCGTGTAGGGGACCCCTTGTGGTCGTGTGGAAAGTCCAGGGAACTCACACGGCCAGCCTGGAAATCCACACGGTCGTGTGTCCCTGGCCGTGCAGCATGCCTGAAAGCCCACTAATCGAAACGCCGCGTTTTAACATCCACACGGGCATACTGGAAAGCCACACGCCCGTGTGGCCTGGCCTTGTGGTCTGGAAATTCAGAGTTTTTAACCCAATTTCGAACCAAAGGAGTGAGAACCGAGTTTGAGAGAGACAAAGCGTATACCTAGAGAGAGAAAGTGACGAACCTGATTCTGCAAGTGCCTTAGATCGATCTCCATCACCATTGGAGCCCAACTTGAGCTTAGAGAAGAGCTGATTGAGTGTCAGAAGCAGAATCTCATCCTTCACATTCATGTTGTTTATGCTTTAACCTAGAAAGAGAATATCTGCCTAGGTTGATAGAGCACCCTTGATTGAAGGTAGTGAATTGACGACTTTAGTCGAGGAGTCAATTCACTATTCTGTACCAGATACGGTAGTGGAGGTTTGGTTCGTTAGGGCCTCAATCTGTTTACTTCAGTGGAGGTTAGTCGCCCGCTGGGCACTCAGATTGAGAGGGTCTGGAGATCTTTAGTCGAGCCTGCAGACTGTTTAAGAACCTCCCGCAGTATAACTATCATTGAAATTGAACTTGGTAAATTACAATTCGGCTTAACTGTCTAAGGGGAACCATAAAGGCAGGAGAAGAAGCAGGATCAAAAAGCGACGGCAGAGCCGCCGAAGCTCCATCAGCCTTGATTTTGATGTTTCGACATCATCGACGTCGTCTTCGATGCTGCCGGATGATAAATCCACCGCCGTCGGTGCTAAATCTGGAAAGGGTTTGTGGTGTTTGATCATGGTTTTGGCTGGCGCATGTCCTTGAAGTTCTGCCAATCGGAATCGGCAGCGGTAGTGGTGGAGGTGGCGGGGCGCAGCCGATGAAGAAGAGCAGGGAAGCAAGTCTCATTTTCTAAAATAAAGAAATTAGGTTTTTTATTTTTTATTTTTTAATGAATGTAATAATGAGGTGGAAAATATACAATTTTATTTTTTTATTTTTAATAATTTTT